CCCTGAAGTGGTGGATGACCTCACGCAGAAGTTTCTTTTATAGATTTATAGATGTTGTAGGAAATGATGAAGGATTCAGTTTTAAGGCACACTACAGATGAGGGCCTAAAGATGCAGCCATTGCCAACACCAGCACAAACTGATTATCAAGAAAGGAGAATAACTACTGTAACACAGTGCCCTCAGCTCCCATTGTAAGCTGTCTTGAAAGCCACCGAGCAAACCAGAAGCATAGTGATGGACACACATACACACACACACAGCTCTGGCAAAACCATCAGCAGGCATACTGTAGCTAGTGCTGTCTCCATGCTGAAACCCAGCCTTAAATCAAACTAAAATGGGTCCAGATAAATGGATGCAGATTTTTTTTCCCCTGCTACTTCAAATCTTCCAATGAAAGTACGTACTGCACATAAAAATATGTTCAGGAATTTTTTTTCAGAAATGTATTCATATTAAGGCAAGATGCATTAAAAAGGAATATAAATGGAATAAAAGGTAGGAGTAGGCTGGAATGGGCCAGAATGCAGCAAGCTGAAGGATAGTTGTGAGGGGAATACATCATTAATTGTTTCATAATGTTTGACAGCATGTTGGTGGCTGCACTATTCTTATTACAGATTTGGCAGTGGTTCTTTTGGACTGGTTTTGAATGGGGGTGCCAACTTTGAGGTTATATTTTTGGAGGACTGGACTGCTAATGGATGCTAAGATCAGACTGAGAGGTGGGCTGCTGTGAGATGCTGCTGCTGGATGCTTTTGCTATTGCCTAGTTCCTTCTGTACCATCTGCTCTATTCTTTTTGGAGTATGTTGGGGCTTTGGCGGTGTGAGTGGGTGGGAGATGACAGTAGAGTGGCAGAATACTTTAGAGTATTTTCAAGATATTATTTGATATTATTTTAATGAAAGGGTAGTTAATGTTGTTTGAATGATTCTGTATGCAAAATATACAAAAGCCTAGATACGGAATTGTTCGCTTTGTACCTCTCTTTCAATGCATCATAGAAATGTGGGTTATTTTGTTCTTCCTCCTATTCATATTCCACAGCATTTATCAAGTCTGCATTTCTTCTAGCCCTCCAGTTCAAGCATGATGAAATTTCAAATCTTGGTAATAAAGTAATTAGAAATAAATATCATCACCCAATTCTGTCTCAAGTAACATCTGGTAGAATCAATTTTCTTAATTTGCATTTTGACCTGGATTCTGAACTGGGACAAGAATTTGGAATGTTTCATAAAATTATATACCATAGTAACTTCACACATTGTGCATATATGTGCTACATTTGCAGAATTTATACAGTTTATGTGCAGAAAAAGCAAGGCTGAGTTATTTTGTAGTTGCTTTTTATGTAGGAGAACTAGCATGGATCCTTGGCTACATGGATAGGGTTAAGATGGCTTTGTTCTCAGTCCTGGGAAATTTTGTTAGATTGGCAATGGAAAGGCTGCCCAGTGCAAACACCATTGCTAGGGGCAGAAACTGAAAGGAAAATGCTAGCTCATAACTTGATCCTATAGAGTGGTGTATTGCCATTTTAGGCCTTTGTAAACAATCAGTTGCCTTTGATTTGATTTGTTTTCATTTCTTTGTTGACTTTGTATCCCAATGATGAATGGATATGGTTGCATTCTATATTAGAAAAGAACAAAACTATGGGATATGTCAGTGGTCCTCAACCTTTATTTCACCATGGACTGCCTTTAAATACATTTTGTGGCCACGGACCATGGCCACGGACCACCAAGACTGAAATCAAGATTTAAATCATAACACTTCTTCAAGCCTTTGCGGACCCCCTGTGACAACATTGCATCCCCCTCCCCCTGGGGTCCATGGACCACAGGTTGAGAACCAGTGAGTTATGTGAGATGTTTCTACCCATTGAATTTAAACCTAGGAATGGCAGTGGGCTTGATGAGGTATAAATCGAAGCTCTCATGAATTGCTGCCTTATTTACTGCATTTACTTATTTGTTAAATTCATTTGCCTCCTATCATTGTGGGGCTGCTCTAAGTTGCTTATAACAACAGAAAAAAGAAAGAAATGGAAAGAGTGTAAACAGAGGTAAAATAATAGAACAAAAAGTAAACAATGAAAAGGAACCCAGTGAGAATACATTAATATGATAAATAAAAAGGTGGACAGGTGGAGAACAGAGAGCAAGGAGTCTGCCATCAATCCAGTAGCTATCTCCAGCATGAAAGTCCCCCCATTTGGTCCGTGGCCAACTGGCAGAGTCAGTTCTTCAAACTCTTGTGGAAGGATAAAGAGGCTTGAATTCTTAGTTCCAATCAAGTTTTACTTTATATAGTATTGAACGGTTTGTTATGTTCCAAGATGTCCATTACTATTTCCTCCATCCTCATAATTCCAAAACATCACCTTTTCTTCTGCTTTTCTTCACAACCATATGCCACAGTTGGGAAAGTCATGGCCTTGACAATGTGGACTTTGGATGATGGTGTGATGTTTTTGCCTTTGAGTATTCTGTCTAGAATTAATACTACAAGTTGTTTTGCATGAGAAAAAAGACTTTATTTGGCAATTGTCTCTTGCACAGAGACAAAGGCTAGGTGAACATACCCAACGTAGTTCTAAACAGACATTCAGAAACTCCAAGGAAAATTCCGAATTTTGATTTTAATTTTCTTAGTGAATTGGCAAACCTATTTTTGTATTTTTTTTAAAAAAAGCATAGTCTGTTTGAAAGATGTAAGATCCTTCACAGATTTGGATTTATTTATTTTTTTTAACTATAATATTTTAAATGATGGCCGACCATAATGTTTAATGTTATGGGTGCCAATTTGCCATAATCTCAGAAAAATAAAGCTTTGCACAAAAGCTCTAACAGGGAAGTAAGTGCTTTATTCTTCCTTTGCCAACTTTTTTTTCCCCAAAGGTTTTTCCTTGAACTCTTCCTTGCTCCACTTGGTTTATGAGAATAAGAGCTGTAGGGAAAAGTTGCAAGTGAAAAGAGACAACTGGGCAAATAATTAAGCATCTTCCATTAGCCACTTATTTGCTATAATTCTGGATTTTTATAGCATTTTATTTATATTGTCTATATAGCTTTTGCATAGTTTTATCTTTTTAATATTGTGATCCTACCACTGTGGTAAGATAGGCAGCCAATAAATTTAATAAATAATAATAACTTTTCCCACACTGTATCCATTGTGTAGCACTCAGTTTCCTATACACTTTTTTTGTTCTACTTGTACTAATATTGAGCAACCTTATTTTTTTGTTATTTTTGTGGAAGAGTAAAGTACAGCAAGAAAAAAGCAGGGTGCTGGATTCATTTTTAACCATATTTAGAGATGGTCCATTGAAATCAATGACTAAACAGAAGACCTTCAGATTTAAATTGGTCTGCTTTAAATACAAGTTGGTTTCAGTTGAATGCATTTGCTGCTGATTCATGTAAATATGTAAAAATGTAAAATATGATTTTTTTTTTAAATTTGGGCCAAGCTTGAAAGCCTACATTTTAAAAATTCTGTACTTTCATCTTATACCACACCGATCATCTATATTTCAATATTTAAAGTTAAAATAAGTTTTTCTACAGTTAATAATAATAATAATAATAATAATAATAATAATAATAATAATAATAATAATAATAGTAGTAGTAGTAGTAGTAGTAGTAGTAGTAGTTGGAAGGGACCTTGGAGGTCATCTAGTCCAACCCCCTGCTCAGGCAGGAACCCTACACCATTTCAGACAAACGGCTGTCCAGTCTCTTCTTAAAAACTTCCAGTGTTGGAGCATTCACCACTTCTGGAGGCAGATTGTTCCACTGGTTAATTGTTCTAACTGTCAGGAAGTTTCTCCTTAGTTCTAGGTTGCTTCTCTCCTTGATTAGTTTCCATCTGTTGCTTCTTGTCCTGCCTTCTCCAATTAACTTTGGAGAATAGCTTGACTCCCCCTTCTTTGTGGCAGCCTCTGAGATATTGGAACACTGCTACCTTTTTTTTTCTTTAAATAAAGTTTATTTTTTTCTATCCCCTCTGGGACTGATTTATTTACAAGAAGAGAGGACTATAATCATATATCCTGATGCTACCAGAGGGTGTTATAGAAATTGTGTGTTTTTCACTTTTAAACAATAATTGCCACAGAGTAACACAGATATAGCAGGCATATCTTTCTCATACATGCATTCTGAACTCACATTTTTTTTAAAAAAAGATTATTTCTTTAGAGAATTTATAACCCACCCATGTTAAATATATAATCCTAAGTAGTTAAGAACAATCTACTCTATACACTACAATACATTATACAGAAAACAATCACAACACATGCAAAATTAAAAATAACCATAATATAAGAACCCAAGCACCATATGGAACTCACGAAGCAGCTATCCACATATAGAGTTCAACTAAAAACCTGATCCAATGTTTGGGGGGAAAACCAGGTCATCAAAACCATCAAAAAATGCCAGGAAATTTGGACACCTTTTGTTCTCAGGGTGAGGTGTTCTATAGGGCTGGTGCCATAATGGATAGATCTGATTTCTTAAAATATCTAGCTCACACAAAAGTTAATAAATAATTGTTATGGCAACAGAACTGAATGCTGAATAATAGCAATCACAAATAAAACTCAATAGTTAATACATCTGATTATCATGACAAATATTCTAGTGTTGCAAGCGTTATTACTGCTTATCACATAGAAGCATACTTAACAAAAAACCATGGCTTTCCTTGATTTAGGGCAGGAAATCTGGGCATTTCACATATTTTGGACTTCTCTTTCTTCAGCCCCATCTTACATAGCCAGAGTCAAAGAAGCATCTATATCCCTAATGTTTGGAGGATTCTAGATTGACCACTTCTGACTTAGGGAAATGGCGTATGATCAGATTTGACTACAAACGTCTGTAGGACTTCATTGTTTTTTTCATTAATAGTTTATTGTTTTGATGCATTATTTTTTTATATAAAAAGTAATTGTCTCCTTGAATTTTCAGAACTTCTTTCAAATAGTTAGCAACCTTCTGGATGAAGAAAACAAAGAAAAATGGGAAGATGCTCAGCAGGTAAATATCCCGTGTGCTGTTGACATTCCCTCTTTTCTGCTTCAAAAGGATTGTTGTTGATTCATCAGTCAAAGATCATCCTAACTGGCCTAGCCCCAAGATCTGTGCATCTAGTAACTGCATGTTTTCAGTCTCTTGGATTGTCCGATATATAGGTTTTAAGGCTACCAATAATGGCTAGTTCTCATGAAGTTATAGGATGAAGGGCAACTTAACTTTATTGAAGAACAAGTATCAAAATTAAGACTTCATGTTCTGCTTGTATATAATTGATGGTACACCAAATAGATACTTGGCCTGATTATATACTTATATGGACATTAAGAGGGTGCAATGGCTCAGCGGTTAAATACATTGAGCTTGTCAACTTGACAGCCTAGGTTCAAGACCTAAATGGCGTGCAACGGGGTGAGTTCCTGTCCTTGTGCTAGCTAATGCCCACCTAGCAGTTCAAAAGCATGCAAATGTGAGTAGATAAATAGGTACCACTTTGGTGGGAAGGTAACATCGTTCCATGTGCTTTGGCATAAGAGTCATCCTGGCCACATAATCAAGAAATGTCTTCAGATAACACTGGCTCTCCCAGCTAAGAAACACAGATGAGCACCGACCCCTAGAGTTGGACACCACTGGAGTGGGGAAACCTTTTCCTTTACTTTATGGACATTAACATTGTAATTGACAGAAGTTCCCTTGTTTGTCCCAGCCTTAGTATATTTGCACATATTTAATTCAGAATGCTTAAAAGATAACATAACAAGATAGGTTGTCAGGAAAGAAACAACTGGTTTTCCACAAGATGTCATTAGATTAAATATTCATTGTTTGTTATAAACCATGTATGCATATTTTATAACTTATGAGATGATATATTTAGCAGGAGTCCTTTCAGAAATCCTTCAATAGGATTTTAGGATGATATACCACAATGAGTTTTTAAACACACATTTTAAGATAGCTAGCACTGAGTGAGTGACATGCATCTAATAATTATCTAATTTTCCTTAGATTTTATATTACAAAATAATTACTTAAAACACCTCTCCACCTTTGTCCAATAGTAAAAACTTTGAAAACATACAAATGCAAATTGTACATGCAAACTTAATATGTAAAGGCCAAATCAGAAATAATGCACAGTTAACTCAATTGCTTCTTCGTCTTTTGATTTTAAGAATCAGTGGATGAATCTTTGTTGATATCCATTTATCATCCATTTTTTCCCCAATCCCATACTTAATTGACTTCCCATAACTACTCTTTATGGATGGAAAAGTCAAAATATCATACGTTTAACACATTTATCATACGTTTAACACATTTTCCATTTGATTTCTTACTAAAAGAACTTACAATGCAAAATTGCCTGCCTTGTAATCACTACGAATTTATACACTGAATCAAAAACTTAACAGTGTGCTAAATTCCTCAGGAAACTCAAGCAGCTCCCTTCTACTTCTCCCAGGAGGTTCTCATTTAACCCTCATTATATCCCGAAAGATTACCCTACCTTTCAGTGCACATATGGGAATCCATTATAGATGTTTCTGGGGAGGACAACCTTCATCTATGAGAGCATGTACTTTTGCTTGAAAAGGCATCCATCGAACAACCCAACTGTTGTAGGCTTCATTAATTTTCTTATGCTGCTGGCGATTATTGGACAAATTGAGATCCTGCAGTTACTGAGCGTGAAACCTTTTGTTTTTCTCTCTGAAGATCTACCAAGGCTCCATAGAACTAATGCAGGTGATTGAAGATTTTATACACATTGTTGGAATGGGGATGATGGACTTTCAGAATTCGTACTTAATGACTGGAAATGTAGGTAAGAAATAGGAATGTCTTTTACCACATACATATTTTAAGCTTTCTTAAATAATCATATCATGTAAATATTATTTATGTGACAAATAAGATTGAGATCCATCCTCTGTACCAAATGTATTTTTTTTTCGTATTGGCAATTAAAGCATGTATATTGTGTTCTCTTTTGATACACACTTTGAAAGTAAGTGTGATTATGAAGCAAAACAAATTTTCTAATTTGAAGTTGCAGATATCACAGGTACAAATAAACCTATTCTGAAATTACTTTTGCAACTCTTCTAATAAAGTTTCAATTCTGTTATATGTAGTGTTACACAAAAAGGATCGTGTTATTTCTTCCTCTGAAACTAAAATATGAGGCACTTTAATGGAGACCCGTGTGGGTGAATCAAATAGACTTCATAAACAGAAGTTTCTCCAAGAAGCAACAATCAGTTATAATTCAGGGAGTTAAAATATATCCTGGAAAAAAGGCAATAGCGAACCATTTTCATGTTACATGAGGGCAACTGCACTGTAATCTCTGCATAAGTCACCAGGAGTTGAATTTGATTCGAATATGACTTCATATCAAATTAAATA